AACTTTGGAATTTGATGGCTCAGACATCACTGCACATTTGAGCCAAAGCTGGTTTCCATAACTCAGCCTGCCTCATAGTCAGGCCTGAGGTGATTCAGGTTTTGGTAGATATAGTCAGCCTTCTCCCTCAGGATACTCAATTACTGGTTTATCTAGCATAAACTGATTCTGTTATTCTGTACCAGAGCTTGCAGGTGCTAGAGGAAGAATTTTTAAAAGGGAAATGAGAGGTCTTGCTTCAGGTTTAAGAGGGCCCTCAGCAGTGCCTTCCAACAGCTCCTCTCCTACTTTTGTGAGTCCCACATGCTTATCTGGTACTGGTAGCAATAGACAGGTGTAGCAGCAACCAAAGTGCTTTGATCACCACCAGCGGGGAGTCACTATTTTATTTTCCCATAATGCCACAGGTGGAATATCATTGTGGAGCATTGTGGGAAATTTAAGTTTTTGCCTTCATACTAAGCTGTTAAGTGCAGGGAGCCTGGAAAGGGCATCAGCACTAGTGGGCCCAGCTGACTAGTGGTCTTGATAAAAAAGGTAAAGGTACCCCTGCCCGTACGGGCCAGTCTTGCCAGACTCTAGGGTTGTGCGCTCATCTCACTCTATAGGCCGGAAGCCAGCACTGTCCGCAGACACTTCCAGGTCACGTGGCCAGCGTGACAAGCTGCATCTGGCGTGCCAGCGCAGCACACGGAACGCTGTTTACCTTCCCACTGGTAAGCGGTCCCTATTTATCTACATGCACCAGGGGGTGTTTTCGAACTGCTAGGTTGGCAGGCGCTGGGACCGAACGATGGGAGCGCACCCCGCCACGGGGGTTTGAACCGCCGACCATGCGATCGGCAAGTCCTAGGCGCTGCGGTTTTCCCACAGCGCCACCTGCGCCCCAGTGGTCTTGATACAAGACCTTTATTAATCACGAGACTGCAAAGCTTTTTATTTTTATCTGCACAATAACCTCTCAGTAACATCCTCCTAATAAAATAAAATCTTAACCTCTTGTTCATGAATGACAGATCTGGTGGCATGAATTGCATTCTCTCTTTAGCCATGTTCAAAGTGACTAAAAGAGCCAGAAAATGTTTACGCGCATCTGGACATTCAGCAGGAGGAGTAAGAGAACCCTTACACACAGGTTCCCCCAAAATTTGTACTCCCCATCATCCTTACCCTACTTAGAGGAGAGGGCAATAAAGCACTGAGTTGGAGGTGTTCTGTGGATTGTCAAGACCCAACATGTCTGCAGAGACAAGCCCCATCCTCCTTCCCAGATCTGAGCTGGAGTGGGATTGTTGTCCCTATTTCCCCTGAGATACAGAGAGACTCAGACTGAGATGATGACATTCCTTGCCCTTCTCCCAAGCCTGGAGAAAAGCCAGGACTCTCACTCTCAGGCTGAGTCAAGGGTCAGGGAGATTCCTCCTCTCTCCTAGTGACTTGAAAGAAGATGGACAGAATCTCACCAGACAGAAAAATGTCTTTGCCAATGGTAAACTGGTAAGTGAATTTCTGGACCACCACTCCTGCCCATATAGCTGCTCAAATTCTATTGGAGTGAGCTGTCTGGTCATCCGTATCAACCTGCCAAATGATGAGTCTACTTTGACTACATGTGCAGATGTGTAGAAGAAGAATGATATGGTACGTTAATATTCTGTATGGGCTCAACCTTTCTATCAAGCATGTAGTGCAGCAAGGCAGACTATTACTGGATCCAATCCAACAGGACCCGGAAAAGGAAAAGCCATGACAGACACACAAGTGGTCATTCACACAAAACAGGTATTTACCAATTGGTAAGCAAGTCTAATCCATAACTTTTTACACAGGTTGAGCAGCATCACATGACACAGTCTGGCCTATTCCTGTTAAGAGGTTTCCTAGCAAACCCAGCTTACTTTCCTTTGACTACAGCAGGTATGAACGTGTGGCCCTCCAGATGTTGTTGGACTGCAGCTCCCATCAGCCCCAACCAGCAAGTGCAATTGTCAAGGATTATGATAGTTGTAATCCAGTAACAACTGGAAAGCCACAGGTTCCCCATCCCTGTGTTAACGTTTAGCAGAGGGGCTCAAGCAAACGCCCCTACTAACCTCCCTTAAGGCCCAGATCTAGGAAGTGGAATGTGCTTCTTCTGAGTAAAGCTGAAATAAACCCTAATTTACAAGAAGAATGTACAGCATAGGCATGATATGATTTGGATTCAAATAAGCAAACTGCTCTGAAACATCAGTTGTACTAACGATAAGCTGAAAATCACCCAATCACCAAATGGCATTCATTATTATCATCATGCCACCAGAACTGGATGATCTTTAATGGTTTGGGCTATTACAAAACTCATGGATCAGGCAGTATCTGAAATACTTGGGAGAGGGAGTGGCTGGCCCTCTCCCAAGTATTTCAGATACACTGGAATAGGAATGAGTGAAAAAGACTCAACTGGGAAAGGTGCTGCTATGTTTTCATCTGGAAGGTTGAAAGGACTGTAGTGTCTCCATCTCTTGGCCACTACATACAGCTTTTATAAGCATGGAACTCTTTCAGCATTCACAATGGTAAGCGCAAAAGAAAAGCCAATAATGGCTACCAAGTTATGGTGAGGTCATCTGCAGAGGAACAAGAATATCTTCTTTTACAGATCGAAATAAATAAAATAATGAAAATATTGTCCAGTAGCAGCTTAGAGACCAACTAAGAGGAAGTATCTGAATAAGTGTGCATGCACACGAAAGCTAAGACATTCATTCATTCATTCATTCATTCATTTATTTCAACTACATCAGATCCACATGGCTACCTTCTTTTAAAGATAACAGGGATCCAGAGGCTGCCAAAACAATGAGTTTTTCTGCATCTCTCCCAATTGGAAAGATTGTTAGGGAAAGGGGTTAAAGTGAAATGAATCTTCAGTTAAAATATACGTCCCCAAAATGTAACAAAACAGTGTGACATTCATACTTTTTGTGCTGCTGTGCCTCCAAAGCATTTTACAGGAACCTGTCAAATCTAATCAAGCTTGTTTATTCTGCATGTAAATGTAGGACCTGAGGCAATCTTCTTTCAAAAATACAGGAAAAGCACATATTGTCCCTGGCAGTTACTTGGCAGGATAGGGTTTTTTGTGTGTTGTTTTTTTTTAAGGACAAAAGGCAAAGCCTAGTTAACTCTCCATTTCAATAATTTCAATCATTATAGTATTTAGGCTACGCAAGAACCATTTTGTTTGTTTTGTCAGCAGGAGTGACAGCATAGCAACCAAACCCAGTTAAAATGGGGTGGGGTGTGAAAACCAAAACCAAGCATGTCATATGAAACAAAGTGGAATCAGGTGATTCTTTAATATTTGATATCATGGCTTAAACTATCTGTAACAAATTATGAGGATGTGCTCACTCTGCCTACAAATCTTGAATTTTGTTTAAGTTTGTGCCAGTGAGAAATTTCCGGCTGACAGCCTTGTTCTTAAGATAAACCCTTCTTGGCAGTTTACAATTGAATACCAACTACTGCGGCATCGTCTGTGCTTTCACATTTGCGTTGATAGGGAATGATGGGACTCTCGGTAAGATTCAGCTGCCCCTTCCTTACACATCTAATTTTAAACACAGCAATTGTCTGCCCTGAATTTCTGTCTGACTTAGTCTGTGCTGTGGCTGTATGTCTTCTTGGCCATCATCTGCAGAATTGGGCAAAAAAACTATTGCTGACAATACTGAGGACATGAAATAGTGTTATCAGGTGATGAGAGGAAAATCACATTTCCATATATAACAATTTATAAATGAAGTGTTTTCCAAAGCAATCAGGAACCCACACTCCTTGTATAGTGTTTCTCATTTGTCAAACTGAAAATGATATAAATCTTATGGCATGCAGGATGAAGCAACACACCTGAAAAAGATCTAAAAGAACAACACAATTGTGGCTATTGAAGCATCACTCTTCTTTCAGTTTTAGCATTGAATATGACAATATTTTATACCGGCTCAAGAAAACAGATGGGAACAAGAATCTGTGGCTAAATTAAAAAACCCATTAACCAGGAATGCTTGGATTCGAGTCACGTTGGTCCCATTCCTAATATACTCTGGCTTAACTGGTTTGTGAGTTGGGCAGCTATAGCAGGCCAGATACAGGCAATTCAATCTTCATCCTCTTCTGACTTTGCAAGAGAATCCGCTAATCTACATACAAACAACCCAGAATGATCATTTTTCAACATAAGGAAATATTATCATAGTAATCAGTTCTGAGCTACAGCTACCAATACCAGTGTACCACATATACTGTACACATAAAATATGTCATTTCCTAAAATTAGATCCTCCTACTTCAAAAGCTGACATTTATGGGGTAACCAAGACAACAGCAGCTAGAGCACACTCATTCAGAAGTAAAAAACTGGAAGCTACTTATATTGCCTGAGATCTCACACACTTCCCTCTCCTCCTCCTTCCTCCTCCTCTTCTTCAAGCCCTTATTAATGTGTTATTTCTCCTATTCACAATTGCAACAAAAGGATGTTCAGATTTCAGTCCATCAACCACCTTGATCCTTACCACATTTACTTAAGAGTGAATCCCAATGAAAGCTGTGAGACTTGCTTTCAAGTAAATATGTAGGCAATAGCAACCTCCCTCTTATTTCCTCAGAAGAATCAGAGGGTCTCTCTATTTGTCTTTGTCCTCCTGGGATGTATTATGGAAGCAATGCAACTAGTCCACATTGTACAAGACTCTCAGAGTCATCATGTGCTTAAAAATCACCAGAGTGAAAGAACAACCTTCTTCACCAGCAGGGGTGGGGTGTTCCGAGTAGATTTAGAACAATTACCAAAACAATGCCAAAGGAAAAAAATGACACGTTCAGGTGAACGCCAAGGACACACCAGTGATGAGCAAAATGAGCTGTCCAAACTTTACAGGAAGAAGAAGAGCATCATCTTTCTTTCCACACTTCTAAACAACAAATTCAAGACACCGCTGTGCCTCTCTTACCTTTGAGATTGAGATGCTGGTGATGAACTCTATGGAACCGGCTTGGGTTGCCCCTCGGCAGCGCTGGGATGCTGGAGAAGCTGTTCCCCATGGCATCAGAAGGCAGCAGCCAACAGCTGGGAGATGACAACAGCTGGAGGGATCTGTGGGTTTGTGCCGCTGGCCAGGGCGGGGTAAGGAAGGGGAGGGGAGCAGGGGCTAGGCTCTCCCCTCCCTCTCTCTCTCTCTCCTAGACCTTCCTCTCCTTCCCTCTCGCAGTCACTTTGGCCCAGAATCCCCCTTTGTCTCCTCTTCCTCAGAGATGCTGCCTTCACTTGGGCTCGATCTACATCGTGGGGTGGAGGGAAATGATTGGGGAGCGGCTGCCTCTTGCGCGAGCAGGATGGGAGATCTCTGCTGCTCTCTTCCCTCGGGGAGCTCAGGTTGATTCCCACGGTAATCCCTCCCCCTCCGCTCTTCCTCTCTCGGATTCCTCCTCGCGTCTCCCTTTGTGTCTCTTCTTCCCCCCCCCCCTCGCGCGCTCTCGCCTCTCCCTTCCTACTCCTGCCAGGCTCGCTCCGTGGATTTTACCTTGCCTAGGCAACGTGAGAGGATGGGGATGGGTGTCATCCGGCTGCCCTTGCCCCTGTTCAGCCGCAGATGCTGAAGCAGCATGGCGCTTCGGGGGCCTTTTCTCCTTCGCCCCCCGCCCGCCCCCGCGGCTTCCCTATCTGGGGGGCTGCGGCAGACCGCTTCCCCATTTGGATCTGGTTGTTATGGTGACAGCTGCCTCCTCAGACTAGTGACTTAAGGGACCAGATGAGTCACGTGAGCAGCCAGATGTGCCACCTCTGGCGCGGGAGGCGGGACAATGAGGCGTGGAGGGGCTCTGGCTCTAGGGCCCAACAGGTAGCGTCCGGAAGGGTAGCGGACGGAGGCACGTGGCTGGAGATCCCGGCAGCGTGTGCGGGGCAGAAGCTCCAGTTTCTCGCGCGCCCTTTGGAGTCCGAATTGTACGCGCGAGAAGCGGCGATCCGGCTTCGCACTCGAGGAGAACCGGAAGGTGGTTGCCCAGCGCGATGAGTAGGGCCTGGAGCGTGCAGTGTGTGTGTTGAGGTGGGGTAAGCTGGAGCTGCACGCGCGCCTTTCTGCAAGAGGAGGGACGAACAGGAAATGGTCGTGGGTGCACGTGCAGAGGTCAGTCGCTGAGTGAGCGCGTAGAATGCGCTCCAGAGGAAAGCGCGTGTGCGCACTCCCAGAAAGGGGAGCCAGAGCTGGAAGCATGAAGTGCCTAGGGCCAGGCTCGCCAAGTGGATAAGTTAAGAGGGATAGCGTGCTTCTCCCCATTCATTTTTCTGTAAGCCCATTTGCTCCTCTAGGTTTCAGTCGGAGTATATTTGGGTCCTATATATTTATTATTTTATTTCATGTTATGCATTTATAGATACCACTCATACACCATTAGATCGCCGGCAGTTTACAGTGCACATTAAAAAAAATATAAAGCAGGCAAGAATTTAAAGAGCAATACAAATCCAAGCAGCAAAAAACGGCACAGATTAAAACACTTGCTCCTAAAACTAAGCCACTCCTTTGCTCTCCAGAGCTTGCTTTTAATGGAATCATCCCTACCTACCCAAAATGTCGGAAGTAATGGTGTGTGCTGTGGACATCTGTGAGCAACATATGAGCAACCATGCACTAAAAGAACAGGTATGGATCGCTAGCGGCCTCAAGGGATGTGTTGTCCAGGTCCTGCCAAAGGCATGTATATGAGGACTAAAAACTCAAAAATTGCTTCTCAACATTTGCACAGTAAAGAAAAGGAGGTACATTGAGGGTGGGTAGGTAGGTACCTGGGTGCATCATCATATGTTTCTAAGTAAAGTGTCCATGTGGGAAATAAACCTTCAATAGTTTAGAATTGCCTTCTGCAACGGACATAGCTCCGAATCATTCCAAGTCACTGGGAGATTCCCATTGATTTGGGGAGGATCTTGCATTGCAACACAGATATGCCAGGGCATGAATGTTTCTGCATGGGTGCAGTTGTCCTTTCTTGAGTACTGTACTTAGTAATATAGCAAGCTACCTTACAACAAGTCAGACCATGCTAGTTGAGTATTGCCAACTGACTGGTAGCAATTCTCCAGGATTTCAGGCAAGTGTCTCTCACAGCCATACCTGGAGATGTCAGCAATTCAACCTAGGACCTTCTGCATGTGGAAACCAGGTGATCTTCTACTGAGCTACAGCCCTTCCCTCATGTGGGACATACAAAGTATGTAGAGTTTTTACCTGAAGGTAAAATGTCCAGAGTAGCCCACAGTACAACGTCAGTGTTATCAGCTATAAAAGGCATGTGCCAACAGCCAGAAACTAACTCCAAGGTAAGTAACAGAGATTGCAACCATACATATGTAATTGCACTGCATATATATTGCAAAAAGCATGTATTCCAGAAATTCTGGGAAGGTAAATCTCTATGCCTTTAACTCTCTAGCTCTTAGAACCAAAAGTCAGAAAAGATGAGAGAGCCATCTAATCAAAGCTGTCAAAAATTGCCTGTGAAAGCCAGACCACAGTCTGCAACAAGCAGAGAACAGGTGTGCTTGCTGTGCATGCAAATAATTACAGATGACGCAAGCTTGCTTGTGCCAAAGAAAAGCCCTTAGGACCTTTGGGAAACAGGGCCACACTAAGCATATGCCTGCCTGTAGATTTACATATTCATTCTTATGTGCAAACCTGGGAAAGCATTTGCCAATGCCCACAGGCAGTGTGAACCCCAAGTATATCTTTTAAATCCATAGTGCGCAACAAAACATTTTCCACAAACAAGGACCAGTGGGTTGTGTAGGTAGCCAAAACCAAATAACAGAATTTGGGTTTTATTTTTTTAATCTCAATAGTCTTTATCTATTTCCTGCCATTTTCTACAGAAAATGTTTTCTGGAGACTTTGCTCTATGGATTGACCAGATGAAAAATTCAAACTGCCCTCTAGTCCAGAAAATACTCCAATTAATCCAGAATGCAGCTGCCAGACTGATGACTGGGAGTGGCCGTTGGGACCATATAACACCGGTCCTAAAATATCTACTTTGGCTCCTAGTACATTTCCAAGCACAGTTCAGAGTGTTGGTACCAACCCTTTTTTGTCCCAGAAACATTTTTATACAGTCCTCAGGACTGAGAAGTTCTGGTTGAAGAAGAACATCTCTTTATGGGGGGCAGGGGGCTTTTGTTGAACATTGCTATTCCCCTTTTAAACTAGGCCATGAACCTTCTTATTACTGAGAACGACAGATCTTTGAGCTTGGGACAAAAGGGAAAAGTAACTCTTGACACTGGATATATTGTAAGTATATCTTTAGCACTGTAAATCAAGACTACTACTGAAGAGATTTAGTTCAGTCTTTCCAGACACACACACACACACACACACAGAGAGAGAGAGAGAGAGGTATCTTTATTTTATTTGGATATAGGATGAGCATGACAAGAAGCTTCTAAAAAGAGGCTTTGTCAAACTGTTATGTGTATGCGATGAAAGGGGGGTTTCTTTTTTAAAAGAACAGTGCTGTCCCCTGCTCCAGAGCTATAAAATAACACCTGTGGCTTTGCTTCCCTTTGTGTGCCATCACACCAGATTTGTTAAGTTACAGGGAACCAGGCAGAGGGCCTTGTCAGTAGTGGCGCCCTCCCTGTGGAACGCCCTCCCACCAGATGTCAAAGAGAACAACAACTACCAAACTTTTAGAAGACATCTGAAGGCAGCCCTGTTTAGGGAAGCTTTTAATGTTTGATGTATTACAGTATTTTAATATTTTTTTGGAAGCCACCCAGAGTGGCTGGGGAAGCTCAGCCAGATGGGCGGGGTATAAATAAATTATTATTATTATTATTATTATTATTATTGTTGTTGTTGTTGTTGTTGTTGTTGTTGTTGTTGTTGTTGTTGTTGTTATTATTTGTGATAGTTTAACCTTTATTTATAAAGCGGTAGCAGAGAAAGAAGTCACTAAGAGAGGAAAGAAAACGTGGAGATGGAAGAGACAACACTAGCCACCAACAACCATTTTGTAACAACATTTTGAAAGAAAACCAACTTAAGAAATCACATAGATTGAGGGGGGCTACCCTGTGGCCCTCCAGATGTTGAATTGCAACTCCCATCAGCCCCAGCTAGCAGAGCCATTGATGAGAGTGGTAGTCTAGTAACATCTGGAGGCCACAGGTTCGTCACCTTGACACAGACTTCTAGAGCAGTGATGGCCTCTGGGCAAGCATAGGTTTGTGACTAAGGTTTCAAATTAAGCTCCACTGTCCTGCCTCACCCATACACACCTCTGCTAATTTCCCCCTTTGCACCAACAGATTCATGGTACCGGCACATCTTTGGACTCCACCAATGCAAAGGACTTTAGTAGTGATGCTATCTTAATCCAGAAGTCATAATGTAAGAATCTAATTCTGTTTTTAATCTTAGCATTTGGTTCCTAATAAAAGATTTAAAAGATCTCTCTTCCAGTCTTGTTGAGCCCCCTTGGTCCTAAATTAGACAGGCAAGTGTGAAAGATGCTCTTAAACCAGCAGGGTCCTAAATTTTGTTTTAGGTCTATGATTTTAAAGGCATCCTAACCAAAAACGGATATCTTGCAGACAACTCTTAGTGAGGCTATTGGCTTCTTAAATCTACTGAAGGAAAGTAGCTCCCAGATGATGAAAGGAATATAACTTGCTAATCACATTTTTGTTCTTCGCCTTATGACTTTAAAATTCCTCCTTCAAACTTATGTCTCCTGGTGGACTTTCAGCCCCATTTGCAAAGTGGTCATTAGTCTGGAACACTGGGGAAGAGATTCAGGGGAAAGGAACAGGTGGGAAAAGGTTCCTGCTCCTTGGGGGCAAATTGTCCCTTCTCAAGAACACCCTGCTGAACTAACATTACAAACAACTGTAATGTGATGTGTAACTTTGCTGTAAGTTACTGGAACAACAGAAATGATAGCTGGTTAGTCAAATCCTCTGCATTGTGACTTTCAGGATATTTACATTTTACCTGAATGTTATTTTTTTAATTTAAAAAAAAAGTAGTTATCTACGTGTTAAAATGCCTGCATCTTCTTCTGTTTAATTTTCAAAGACATGTTCATATAAGTGTTGTATCAGATATAAGCTGCTCCTTAACATGTGGTGGGGAGTACTGAAAGGGGGGAAATCATCCATTTTTTACATGGAGCTCACTCATGTGCAGAGCTGTCTACAGTTCTGTGGAAACAGATAGCATTCCTACTGGATCAGGGTGGACTTAGGAGCACAAGATGTGATGGCCAACGATGGGCCCATCCACACTTGCATTTGGCATGTGCTTTCTTAGTATTCTGGATTAGGGTGGTTTGTCTAGGAAAAGGCTATCAATTAAACTCCAGAATCAGAGATGTGAGATCATGCCTCATGTCCTACTTTTGCATTTCCCATAGGCATTTGGTTGGCCACTGGAAGAGACATGACGTTAAACTAAATAGCCCTTTAGTCTGATCCAGTGGGGATCTTATTATGTTCTTATGTTATGTTAATTGTTACCATCTTGTGTATAAAAACAGCCAGATCTTATATTTCAGCTCTGCCAAGAAGAAGAAGAAGAAGAAGAAGAAGAAGAAGAAGAAGAAGAAGAAGAAGAGATAAACCCTCCACCCAAATAGAAGTCCACTCGTCAGGAACTGCAGAACACACACTAGGGTTAGGAGAAGGACAACAACAACACATTACGAAGCTCTCCCCATTATGTTCTACCCTGGTGACAAGTGATGCGAACTAACAGTGCAGCTGGCCCTGAATCTCCTAGCTGCGATCTTCTCTTCCTGCACTGGATACAAATGGGATGGTGTGAATAATGACAGAACTGGTACAGTTCTGGCCTAGGTACAGTTGCAGGGTTTCACTTCAGATTTTGTTTTTGCCTTCTATGAACATTATGTACTTGGAAGCTTGTTGAATGATTCCTATGATGAGTTTGACCCATTGCCACACAGTTTCAAAACAGCTATACTCTAGCTGTAGAATTTCATTAGTAGTCAAGGGTCATGTTTCTTTACTTCCCTTTTCTATTTTCTCCCAGCTTTCCAAAGAGGAGAGACCGTAAAGATTAAAGTACAGTGGTACCTCAGGTTAAGTACTTAATTTGTTCTGGAGGTCCGTTCTTAACCTGAAACTGTACTTAACCTGAAGCACCAGTTTAGCTAATGGGGCCTCCTGCTGCCGCCGCACCGCCAGAGCACGATTTCTGTTCACATCCTGAAGCAACATTCTTAACCCGAGGTAACATTTCTGGGTTAGCGGAGTCTGTAACCTGAAGCGTATGTAACCCGAGGTACCACTGTAATTGATTTTTTTTAAAAAAGGTTTAGGCAGAAGGCCAGTACAAAATGTGAAGGTCAGCCCCTGTGCCCTAGAATAGGGTTCTGGAACCTGTGGTCTTCCAGATGTTATTGGACTCCCAACTCCCATTAGCTCCAGCCAGCACAACCAGGAGTGATGGATGCTATCACTAGCAATATATGTCTAGCAGTATATGTGAACTGCAATTTCCCCACCACTGCCCTACAGGAAGAGAAGCATAGATCCACAAATATTATTGAAAAGCATTGAAAGTACTCAGTGCCCCCCCCACCAGAAGAAGTCTGTCCCCCTGCAATGTCTTACTCAAGGGTTATCTTGACCTGTTATTTTCCCTGAAAAGCTTGACAACTTTGATTTCCTATATAAAGCTCAACAACTTTGGCTGCTCTCCCCCCCACAAAAAATTTTTTTGGCTATGCCCATGGAGAGAAGATCTAAAGGCCCCAGAAGAATTGAAGCTCGTGGGCCATGCCAAAAGATGTTCACATATTAACAGGTTTGATATTTCTCCACTTCATTTACAACATTCAAATATTTGGACGGAAGTTTCACCCGCTGCAGTTAGAGAGTGAAAAGCAAGCACTTGGTCATTCTCTACTACACAGTAGTTCAGAGCTTTCCAAACTGTTTATGTTGGTGGCACACTTTTTAGGCATGCGTCATTTTGCAACACAGTAGTTCAATTCCACTAGCAAACCAGAGGTTAAACTAACCCCTTTTCAGCCTCAGGAGGAGCATGGGGAACATTTGCACAACACACCTGCACACTGCAGTGACATACTAACGTCACGACACACAGTTTTGAAAGCTCTGCAGTAGCTGCTCATTGAACACATGTATTCTTTTTGCAAACTGCTTTGAGGTGTTGTTGCAATCAAGTGGTGTGTATCAATGTCAAAATAAAAATGAATCAATAGCCAGAACTAGTTTTATCATTCCTTTGTTAACTACCTTTCTCTTGGGGAAGGTATTGCTCTCCCTCTGGATACACACACACTGAGTCTTGGCTTTTGCTGCTGTGGTCCTTGGTGATATGTTTAGGATTGCTCCAACCCTAGAGGCAAATCAGGCAAACCCCTGGGGTGCCAAATTTCTCAGGAGTTGGGCTGCCTATGTAAATGCATTGGAGAGAGAACCACTGCCTGCACTTTTGGAAGAGATGCAAAGAATCTGCTAAGCAATTCACCACTCAAGGGCTATTCACTGCATTGCTGGGAATTGATCGAGACCCTTCTGATCTCTACCCATTATCCAAGCCATAGACACAGTTGTCCAGAGAAAGAAATAAGAACCAGCAGAATTCTTGAAATTGAAAAATAGAAAAGTAATATCCTGGTCAACTATTGATTATTTAATCTGCTATTGATCAGCATAAAATAAGAAATGGCAGGGGAGAGGGTTCACCAAGGGCAAGTACAAAACTCGGGTCAGAGGTGGATGTGATTATACCACGGTAGGGCTAGGAGGGACCGCATGAACTAATCACCTTCCTACAGAAGGAACAGGAAGATGGTGGGGGGAGTATCTGCACGCAGATGTTTTTGCATGCAGAAATAATAAATTATAATAATGATTTTATTATTTATGCCCTGCCCATCTGACTGGGTTGCCCCAGCCACTCTGGGTGGCTTGCAACGTATATAAAAACATAATAAAACATTGCACATTAAAAAGCTTCCCTATACAGGGCTGCCTTCAGAGTCCCAGGTTCAATTCCTGGCACTGCCAGTTAAAAGGATAATATAGCAGGGAATGTGAAAGACCTGCCTATGACCATGCAAAGCCAGAGCTCAAAAAAAATATGTGCTAATGGACACAAAGCTTCCCATGATCCTATTAGACCAATAAAGTCATGGAATGCACAATTGGAGAACAGGAGTGTGTAAGGTGCACCTCAGAAAGAGCTTTCATTTACTCAGTCACGCCATGTGCGACCATGGAAAGGGAAGTGAAGGTCCCTTAGGCCTGGGGAATTCCTTCTTAGTGGCAAATATTGTGATCAGTTAGTTCCTAAACAAGTTATGCTGGAGCAACCGGTTTTCCTAAGCAATGATGCTTGGCAAATTGATGTGCTGAATGTACACCACATTCTTGCTCTATTCCCCTTTGATCAAGCTGTAAGCATTCCTTGTAGAGGCAGAGGAAGCAGATTGCTCCCTTATCTGTTAGCTATTTATTGAGATAAATGGCTAAGGTGGGCTTTAAGTGTTAATATTTTTCATTATCTGGGACCCTGGCCATAAATATATGCCCAGCAGCAACAGCACACAAAAGAGCATGCTTTTGCCGAGTTAAAAGTAATATCCTGTGCAAGGCTGGCTGGGCATGTATACATACCATATGAGTGCTTTGTGTACCCACACAGAAGGCCCCATCTTGCTGAATCATTCTGAAATTGTTCTATCTTGCTCCAACCTTTCATCATACCTGCCTACCCAATTTCTGTTTCATGTACATTTGTCCAGTGACAGTGGCTTGTTAACTGGTACACTGCTGACCTAACTTTGTTGTACTGCTCCTTCATATTGAGCAAACCCATGACATTTGCAGAAGGGGACAAGGGACATTGTGCTGGCACATAAGCCGTTGTGCTCCATCATAACTACCTCTTCTCTGGCACAGCAACTCTTTTGTACCTTAAATGACCGACACTTGGTGATGGAACTTAACATTTTTTACCAGACCTAAGCAAATTTAGAAGTCCCTCAGTGTACTTGATAGCACTAATGCCACATTATCAGCAAACACTGACTGTCCTTCAACAATTTAAAGAAGAAGGCTTGTTCAGGCAGATTTTCTCTGTGGTTGACTGCACAGGAAAATAAGTTAACAGTTCTGACATTCTTGCTGGAAGCCACAAAAGTGCAGATAGAGGGTTAACTGGCTTCATGCTGCATGCAGTCAATGTAGCTTAAGGGCCTAGAAGAGTTCAGAAGCTTTGTGAGGCTGCAAACCGCAATGCACTAAGAGCAAGATAAAGCACACATGCAATGGTACTGCAATCTGCACACAACAGCAGGGGTTATTTACAGTGCAGTCAAACCATCAATGCATGTTTTCTAGACAGGCACATGATAGGAGCTGAAGCTCACAAAGATTTCCTGTAAATTTGCTAGAGAGAACTCTGAGAGCCACTCACCCTGTGCCCTGACAGGGGGCGGGCATAGCCATATATATTCTCCTTACCTGCATGGGGACATCCTCTCATCCTCTCCCTTTTCATCTCATCACCAAGCCAGAAATGTGAGGACAATCTGCATGTCTGAGCTCCATTGCTCAGACACCATCTTAAACTAGACTTAAGCATGTCCTTGTAACCAAATTACCATTTTAAGCCTGCCTGAACAAAGCTGCTGTATCTGTTACTCTTCAACAAATATTCTGAGTGAGTAAATGTTATTTTTACCTTTCACCAGACTGTTTGTGTGGTGGGGAGAAAAGGGGGAAATACCAGGAGAATGCAACTTCCCTTTTAAGCTGCAAAGGGATGCACTTTACTGAACTCACAAACATGAGAAAAGAAGGATAGTAAATAATAAATATATCCTTTCCTAGCATCTATACACATCCCTACAAACACATACTGCAACCTACAGGTCTAGAGACCTTGTCAATACAGGGTGAGGCATGGTGGATTGGACATCTCAGTTGTACAGTACATGTTTTGCATGCATAAAAGTCCCAGGTTAGATCCCAGGTGTCTCCACATATGGCTGGGAAAGATTTCTGTCCCAGGGGGGGGGTGGAAGGGGTATGTAAGGAAGCACAGGCCCAGGACTTTTTTATGCGCAGGAGTACCACAAGGACATAATCTGCAGGAGTGGCACATATGACTCCCATTTTCAATATTCAGAAATTCCAAGCTTCAAGATAGGTAATCTTGAAAAAGGCTGAACTATTAGTGTTAGAACTGGAACATTGTGAAATGTTCCTTTTTTTCATGGATGCTGCAAACATTTCAAATTTCAGCTTGTTTGTCTTGGAACTGTTTTTACCAATTAAAATAAAATTGTAGACTATCCCTTAATAGAATAGCAAAGATTCTTGGCCGGTGAATGATAGTGAGTGAACTGCTGTAATGTCACAGAATGTTCATTTTCACAGCGGTATGTGGGGAAAGGATTTGAGGTAGAGTTTGAAACTCAGAAAACAAAACCATATATTCACATATAGATCAGAGGCATTTACAGACCTGCAGGTTATTTTCTGCTGCTACTGTATCTCTCTTTAGAACCCATAGCTTGTTTGTTTGTTATAAAACATTATTGCATCAAGTTATAATGGTTCGGCTGTATGAGGATCCATTTTCTTAGACTTCTCCTTTGATATGTTTTCCTGTAGATTCGTATGAGATGCACAAGCCTAACTCCACTTTTATACTATCAATTTGCCAGCATTATTATTTTGAGTCTTAGAAAACTAGTCCTAGGGGAATGTTTGCTGCCAGCATGGTCTTTTGGATCAATAATGTTTGATTGTGACCTTTACATTAGCAATGTTGTCATCCATCAAACCAGGCAGGATCTTCACATAAGAATTAGTAAACCCAGGCGTTAATTCAGTCCACATATGAAAAAGATCATCCATACCCATTGCAGAATTTATATTTGAAGCTATACTACCTAGAGAATCCAGTACATATCAGTAAGAGGAATAAAATGTGCTGTGTCCATTGTTGTGATGTTTATGGCACAGCTTCATTTTTAATCTTTTTACTTTCCAACCTGCCCCCACATCCTCAAGCCATGTGCAATTAATACTTCCTATTTACAGGTAGGTAGCCATGTTGGTCTGCCGTAGTCGAAACAAAATAAAAAAAATCCTTCCAGTAGCACCTTAGAGACCAACTAAGTTTGTTATTGGTATGAGCTTTTGTGTGCATGTATCTGAAGAAGTGTGCATGCACACGAAAGCTCATACCAATAACAAACTTAGTTGGTCTCTAAGGTGCTACTGGAAGGAATTTTTTTATTTTGTTAATACTTCCTATGCCATGCAGGAGCCTTTCCCCAAACAGTTGCTCACTCAGCTTTCCTTTTTCAGCTCAGATTCTATAATATAATAAATGGGTAAATTTCCACACAAACACACCACTAGCAGGAGTTCTGGCACTGAGAGTTTGGCCACTTTGATCCCTCCTCCCCCAAAATTGCTGGTTTGAGGGGCTTTCATTGGCTCCCATCAGCAGGCATACAGCTGGTTGCAGCTGCTGCCTGCCTGTGATTTTAGCAGATGTAGCACAGCACTCCACAGAGCAGAGTGGGACTGAAGGACACCTCCGCCACATCCAAGCCCCCTCCAGTGCAGGCAGATTGGGGGTTTGGATTGCTCTGCCCAATAGTTCTTGTAAGGATTACTCAGTTAATATATGCAAAGCACCTCTAATGCTCAAAAATGCTACATAAATACTCAATATTTTTATCTCATCCTCACAGCCACACAGCTCTTCAGCAAGTGTCACAAAGCCTTCCTGAGTGAGACAGCAAAGCAACTGCCTGTAACTAAAAATAATGCCAAGATTAATCAAACAATACAACTCTGCTGGATTTTAGAGAGACACGATCTGATTTATTTACACTGAAAAGTGCTTCATGCCTACAATTTTGCTAAGCAAAAACAGGTGTGACATTTTATCCCCCCCCCCCTCATCAATAAATTGTGCATGTCCTGGTTATGGAGATTAACTTTACAGGCAAATGTCAGTCTTAATTCCGGTTTGACAGCCTGGGTGCATCGCAAGACAAGCAAACTGTAATCTTGCGATACAAACACTAAACTAAACCATGTAGAGGCAGGGGCAGGCTACAGTCGCAAGTTCTCAGTAGTGTCTTATTTGAATAATCTATCTGACAGCTCTGCTCTTCCCTCAGAATTCCCATTTAGTAAAAATATTTTCAGATGTCACACATTCCAGAACCAGATAATGTTGCCATATATGCTTTCCTATGACACAGCCTTTGCCAGACTGTTGTCCTCTACACATTTTTGTGCACATTTCCCCCTAATATTTATGCATTATATATGCTGTTTTTGCTAATATATACATTTTTGCGGAGACTTTCCAGGAATATATGCATTTTTGTATGCACTGTTGGAATGGAGAATTGCATCACAAAAATTGGAGAAGTATAAAATTGAAATGGTTAGCCCTGCTTTGGTTCAATTGTTTGAGAAGTGTGAATTAGGTGGTTTCTTATCAAGATACAAGCAAAACTGAATTTCTCCTCCATCCCTATCAAGTATTCCCCTAGCATTGGCAAGACCTGCTTAATGTCCATTTTAATACCAAAAGCTAAACACCGCCTCCTTGTGGCACAACCTCATGCACATACAATAGCAATTGAGACTGACTGAGACAATCCTGGATTAACTCATCTTTCAAATTCTGTTTGTTTTAGTCTACTACATTTAAAATGAAAGCTCCGGCTGAAACACGATCTGGAACTCAGAAGGGGAGGAGACACTTTGGGAACCATTTCCTAAGGAAATATATGTATACAAGTACCAAAATCCATTGGTAATGCATGGGGAGGGATCCTGCAATGGCAGCTGAAGACGAGTTGGGTCTGCCTCCTAACATGCTGCTACCCCCAAAGTTATCTCTAGGCCTCTGCTGAGATATATGTTTCCAGGTTGCTTCATAAAACAGAAGTAACCCTTACCTATGAAAAAGTTATGCCACACTCTGCTCCACACAACTTCATTCGGCTTGGCTACAGAACAGGATATAATCATATGTGGTAGCATTGCTAAGAAGCCCATGGAGCCCTGATTCTCACACTGTGAATATGTTACCTGGGACCAACTAGCTCCATATCACCTACACGGACTGGCAGAAGTTATCCTGGGTTTCAGATTGGGAACATTCTGTCCTACCTGGAGACGCCAGGGATTGAATCTGGGACCTTCTGAGTGGGAGGTAGATGCTCAGCTACTGAGTTGAGTTCCTTCCCTAGGATCTCACATAGCTAATACAGTGGTACCTCGGGTTACATACACTTCAGGTTACAGACTCCGCTAACCCAGAAATAGTACCTCGGGTTAAGAACTTTGCTTCAGGATGAGAACAGAAATCGCATGGCAGTGGCGTAGCAGCAGCAGGAGGACCCATTAGCTAACGTGGTGCTTCAGGTTAAGAACAGTTTCAGGTTAAGAACAGACCTCCAGAACGAATTAAGTACTTAACCCGAGGTACCACTGTATATCAAGCAACCACACCAGGCAGATTATGAAACTTTGTTTCAGATGGAAAAGTTTACAAAGATATGGCACCATATATACAGCAATTCTAAGGTAGAGCAGGAAATAAATCTCGCGTTCTGTGCCCCCTGTATTCTCTTTCATGAAGTTTAAGAGCTGCAGATGAATCAAAGCCAACTCTGCTGAAAAACAACTTACAGGGAGGAGACTTGTAGGCAAACTATCTCATTTGACTGACCTGGTTTCTCACAAACACCAGTGATGATTCATTGCTGGACAACAGAGGAAACCATACATGGGAAGAGGCAAAGGGAGGGGAATGAAAATCAGCTTTTGATTATTTGAAAGCTACTTTCATTCTCTGTGGTGCACCAGTTACTATCTTCACACTGGAGTGTAAATACTGCACCATACCTCCAGGCTATGACTGTTTCACATACAAAAGAGTTTTGTGATTTGATTTTTCTAATGGAGGAGCTATAATACCAGGAAGACTCTATTCATTCTCTTACTATAAAAGCAAGATAACTAAGCACCAGGTTTCATCCTGATCCAACAACACATGGATAAGGAATGCAGCTGGAACAATTATGCCAATGAGAAGTGAATAAGGAGGTTCCTAGGTATGAAGCCAAGAATGGCACAACAAAGGCAATAATGTTAATGTGAGCTGCTTTACTGTTTGTTTTGTTTGCTTATTGTCCTCCTGTCTTTGAACTAAACAGGCCTTACAGAGCTCACCTAATCACCCTGCCAGAGAAGGCTGCCAAGAGAAGACCAGCCAGTGCTTCATCTCTGAGACGAACCCAAGCGCTCTACAGGAGGAAAGGCGCTCGGTCACCACAGCACTATGGATCGATTCCGGAATGATCTTCCAGTACTTCCAGTCCAATTCAGAGTCCGTGACTAATGGGATATGTGCACTGCTGGCATTGGCAAGTGTAAAGATGTACAGCTCCTTTGACTTCCACTGCCCTTGCCTTGCTAAATACAACATGGCGTATGGCTTAGGAATTATGTTTATCCCACCAGTGGCACTTTTCCTCTGTGGTCTCATTGTCAACAGACAGTTTGTGGTGATGCTTGAGGAGTGGAAAAGACCTACTGGGGACAGGAAGAAGAATCTAGCCATTATCAGGTGGGGGATTTCAGTACTGGTGCTAATTACTTTCCACAATGAAGTTTACTTATTTGTTGTACCCTTCTCTCCCAAAGTTCCTCCAAATCTAAACTTCCTCCAAATTATTACTTAGAATTTGTATTGTATTGTTTTCATTCTTAACAGTACTTAGGAGGCTTTATGTAGCATGATATCACCATCACCACTGAAATGGATTACAGTTCTTATGTATAGTTATTATAACACTCTGAAACTAAGAAATAGTGGCATGCCCAAGGGTACACAATAAGGCCGGATTTGAATACAGGCTCCCAGATACACATATTACCCAGAGTCAAACTAAACAGGACAATGGTAGAAGATTCACCAGCATTCTTTTAGAAAATTTAGATTAGAGGGGGAGGGGTTGGATTAGAACTGTGATGCTGGAAGGGCAGTTTTAACCATTTCCACCTGCATTGTATTTCCCATGTGAAAACCCCCGCTCCCCAAGCTGGTATTTGTTCTGTAGCACAAAACATACTTCCTTGTTTTTTTACATTTTAATATTTGCATGAATTATAAATATTGATGATTAATAAATATTGCTTGACTTTATTTCATTTAAATTTTTAAGAATTTGGATTGGGGTGGATGACAAGTTTATAAGCTCAATTAGGGGTCAATGAACTTAGAAGTCTGGGAAACCCCTTTGGAAATCACTGGAGTATGCTACTGTCCCTTCCCTTGTTATTGCCGGTGCTAAGCAAGTTCCAGCCTTTAGAAATATCAGTTTAGTTTTTTGCTTCTCTATCCAATAACCAGGTACATGTGTTCCTCCGTTCTGCAACGGGCCATGATTGCACCTGTTGTTTGGATCCTAGTCACCCTGCTCGATGGAAAATGCTTTGTCTGTGCTTTCAGCAGTTCTGTTGACCCTGATAAGTTTCCAGGTTTCGTCACCAACATCACACCTTATAATGAGGTACAGCGCTTGCTGTCCAAGGTCCCATGCAAGGATGATGAACTCATAAGGAACAATACTTCCCGCAAGGCTGTATCCAGGTACCTCAAATGCTGGTCACAGGTAAGTAACAGACATCTATAGGATCTTGCTCTGTAGGAGTTCCTTATAGGAACATTAACCTGCTCTTGAAACATATATAGGTAGAATCTGTTTCTCAAGCTCATCTTCAGAATATTCTCCTGGGTAATCACTGATTAAATGCAAGAAGCATAATTTTTAAATTGATTTTTGCTGTCAATGGAAGGAAAGAGCAACAGATGATTCATAAAATACACATGGGCCCTACAGCATGTGCAGATTAACTAACAATTCTTAAGGTATTGAGCCGCTATATGAACTATATAGTGTCTCAGACACAAACTTTTGGACAAGTCACCTTCTCTTAAACTATCCTACCAAACAGAGCTATGGTGGGAATAAACAAGATAAGGATTGCAAACTAATTTGCTAACTACAGATTCTTTTGAAATGCTAATGTTAATGCTAATAATAATAATAATAATAATAATAATAATAATAATAATAATTTATTTATACCCCGCCCATCTGGCTGGGTTTCCCCAGGCACTCTGGGCGGCTTCCAGCAAAATATGATGAAGATTCCCAGACATCTTTAATTTTTCCATTCAGCATATTCCATTCATTATGCCTCCAAGTCTCTTGTGTTCTCCTGTTTCTGCTTTCATGTATTTTGCCCCTCTGGTCCCATGTGCAAAACAAGCTCCATAGTCCTGCATCCCCTGTGTTGTGATAACCTTATACCATGTCAAATTTCAACCAAGATGGGCTACAATTAAATTCTGACCAATAGTAACAGGAACATGTTGGGTTAGGGTGGGGTGAGGAGGCAAACTCTCCAAGCCCCTGGCAGTTGATGACACAGTCCAGGTTTCAGGCTCTGCTCTGCTCTGCAGAAGGAAGAGTGAGTCACAGTTAGACTCATGGGTTGACTGATTACAGATGCCAACTAAAGAAGCAGTCCTTCTGTTGATTTCAGTACCCATTCCTTCAGTTTTTGCCATTTCATCCATCTGCCATTTTATCTCTCTTAACATACACTATAAGACTGGGTAGGCAATGTAGTGCCTTTCAGATATTGTTTGGCTCCAACTCCCATCAGCCCCAGCCTGCATGTCCAATGGTTAGGGATTATGGGAATTGTAGCTCAAGGACATCTGAAGGGCACCACGTTGGTTATCCTTGCTATAAGGCTTTCAGTCAAGGACACTATTCCTTTTGTTTTCCTAGCATTAAATAAATGTAGACATTAATTAGCAAATCAACATTTATTACCATTTTAATTACTTAACAGAAGTCGGGGGCTCCTCCCATAGCAGGGTGTTGAACTAGAAGGTCTGAGAAGTCCCTTTTATTATGGGATATTCAAGCAATAGAACACGGATGTCCTGGTTTTTTGTTTCCCTGTGGCTGGCCTTGATAGCTTTAACATTTGTACATACTTCCTTTGCCTTCTAGGCTTTTGGATGGAGCGTACTGCTGACCCTTATAGTGATCGCCTTCCTTGCCCGCTCTCTCCGGCCCTGCTTCAACCAGGCTACCTTCTTGCAGACTCGCTACTGGAGCAACTACATTGATATTGAGCAAAAGATTTTTGATGAAACTTGTTGTGAGCATACCCGGGACTTTGCACACAAGTGCATCCTCCACTTCTTTGAGAGCATGCAGAAAGAAATTAAACGAAGGCGGTTCCATGCCCACCCAGGAAAAGAGGAGGGGAAGGAAGGGGAGAAGGATCACTTGCAGGGAATCAGCAGCCAGGAGCAAGTGAACAAGCTTCTTCAATCATGGTACTACAGCAAACCGCCGCTGGATTTGAGTGGAGGTACACAGAGGCAACCCCTGGGCACAGGGGGAATATCTATGCCTTGGACAGGCAGTATGATTAACAGGTGGCATCCCCAGCCAGGGACCACAATTACAAGGCAAACAGACGTTTAAAAGGAAATGGAAACTGAGAACATCAGTAGCTAGGGGGAAACACATACACACACATCCCAGCAAAAATGGGCTGCTCTTGCATCTTTAACAACAGCATAGTATGCAGGAATCACATACCCTCCAACACATCAAGATGAAAAACCGGGACACCATCCTCCAGGTTCACACTCCCACATGAGTAGCATGACCCATGCAAGATCGCAGCCCTGGAAAAAGCACTTATTTGGGGCATGGTGCCCCAAAACACACTGTTGGGGGTGCAAGATCACAGCACCAAAGAAAGTGCTTTGGGGGCTTAAGATCGTGGTTGCCCCAAATGGCCACCGTGATCTCCTGGAGGGTGCAGGGAATGAGATGTCCCAGTTTTTCCGGAACAGTTGAGGGGTATGGAATCAGCAGCAGAAACTTTAACAGCATGGAGTGAAGCATTATCACATGCTAATGTCTGTACAATGAGTTCAGTTCAGATTTATTTCCATATGAGCCACAGGCCATAACAAAAACACAAAAGGATCTGTAACTCTGTGGTACAGCATATGCTTTTTATGCAGAAGGTCTCTGATTCAATCCCTGGCATCTCCAGGTAGGGCTGGGAAAGACCCCAGTTTGAAGCTCTGGAGACCTGCTGCCAATTCATAGCTAGGTGGATTGCTGGTACTGGTACTTAAACATGTGTTCAATATGTTGTACATAAAATGGTTAACAACATAGCCCACATCTTACAGATTATTACAGCACGCAAAAGGTAGGTCCAAAGTTGGCAACTCTATCCAGCAAGGAGATAGTAATGGGTGTACTAATCTATCACAAAGGCAACAGCTTATCACTAATGAATAATGCACTATATGAAATTATGGCCCAACTGTATTGGCTGCCAATTAGTTTCTGGGCCCAACTGAAAGTGCTGGGTTTGACCTATAAAGACTTCAATGGCTCAGGACCTCAATACCTCAAGGACCACCTCTCCCCATATAAACTGACCTGGACTCTGTGACCATCACCTGAGGCCCTTTCTCGTGTGCCTCTGCCACAAGTGGTCTGTAGGGTGGCAACACAAGAACGGGCCTTTTCTGCAGTGGCTCCCCATTTGTGGAATGCTCTCCCCAGGAAGGTTTGTCTGGTACCTTCATAATATGCCAGGTGAAAATGTTCCTCTTTAACCAGACCTTTGGCTTATTAACAGTCTATGTCCTTTTAAATGTGTTTGTGGGAAGGGGTATTAATGGTTTGCTTTGTTTTCTATCTTGTTTTTATTGTGTACTTTATGGTTTTATTCTGTATTTTTATGGTGTGAAGTGCCCTGAGATCTCCGGATGAAGGGTGGTATACAAAATAAAATAAAAATATAAAAATAAGAATTTCCCCAACATCCTATTGAAATATGTTGGACAGCTATACTTGAATCTCCCTTCTAGAATTAAATTATTAATTCATTTTCAGGCTACAAGAAAAGATGAGAGAGCCAGGCATGTAATTACAGCAGAGTCCTGGGCTTCTAAATAGAAGCCTCTGTGAGTATTTATGTTTGGTCTCCTTCACATATTAGAGACCTGCTCTGATTTAATTTTAAGCAGACACACTCAAGAGATTAAATATCTGACCTTCCATATTTGCCATGTGTTTTAATCAAATTGACTATTGCCTTAGCAAGCTGCTGAGGAATGAACTGGGTGGATATCTACTTTGCATACTGATTTTCATGGAAGGGTATTTTTAAAGCATTTTAGACGCAGCAGGAATATACAAATGTGAAGGAAGGAAAAGAGAGTGTGATTACTAAGTAAGCTATGTGCCTGGACATCAATTTCTGACAATGACGCTGCTATCATTGGAAGCATCGCATTTTCATGCCTCTGGTTATATTATTTGTTTGTCTTGTATAACAAGTTGATGAAGCTACTATGTATGCAGTGATGAAAGCAGCCCATTATGTTTTGCATTACCTCCTTTAGTGTTATTCCGGTACTCTAACCTCAGTGATGAATTTGGATTACATATTTTGTTAGAAACTCACATCATGTTTTGATGGCGCAGCAGCTCATTCCTGCCTGCCTTAACGTCCATTTATATTTGAAACAGTATCTCTCAAAACCAGTTCTGCCTGAACCAGGGCAATACCCTAGGTGCCAGTTAGGAAGGGCAAGGAAACCATATCCCGACACTTCCCCCCTTCTTTCAGGCTACAGATGATTGTTTCCCAGGAGCAGCTGTAGTTCTGGCTGACTCCCTCCTTGAGTTAATACAGTGGTACCTCTGGTTAAGAACTTAATTCGTTCCGGAGGTCCGGTCTTAACCTGAAACTGTTCTTAACCTGAGGTACCACTTTAGCTAATGGGGCCTCCCGCTGCCGCCACCGTGCAATTTCTGTTCTCATTCTGAAGTAAAATTCTTAACCCGAGGTACTACTTCCAGGTTAGCGGAGTCTGTAACCTGAAATGTTTGTAACCCGAAGCGTTTTTAACCCAAGGTACCACTGTATTGTTAACAATTAACAGTGCAAGCCTAGACCCAGCAGTTAGTTACATAAGCCCCAACAACATGCTTGGTACTGTACATCAGAAGTCAGCAGACAACTTGTGGGATCTGCTTTGCTTTTCTCTAGAATCCTGCCATTGGAGGGCAGGGCCAGATACAAAATGTTAGCTTAGCGGGCAGAGCCAAATACCTACTTCATCTTGCAGGCTGCATACCAAAGTACAAAGACACATCTGGGTTACTACTGATTAAAGGTAAAGGTACCCATGCCCGTACGGGCCAGTCTTGACAGACTCTAGGGTTGTGCGCCCATCTCACTCAAGAGTCTGGGGGCCAGCGCTGTCTGGAGACACTTCCGAGTCACGTGGCCAGCGTGACAAGCTGCATCTGGCAAGCCAGAGCCGCACACGGAAACACCGTTTACCTTCCTGCTGGTAAGCGGTCCCTATTTATCTACTTGCACCCGGGGGTGCTTTCGAACTGCTAGGTTGGCAGGTGACTACTGATTAGGAACTCTTAATATAAAACACTAAAAATGGCCAGTGGAGTTGCTCAAAGCACAGCTGTCAACTTTTCCCTTTTCTTGCAAGGAATCCTATTTGGAATAAGGGAATTTCCTTTTTAAAAAGGGGAAAGTTGGCAGCTATGGCTCAAAGGCAATCATTTAATATTTATATTTTACACAGAAGGAATGTTGTGGCTGGCGGGTAAGCAATTAGCATGCTGCTGTCAGCATCGCCCTTGAGCCAGTGCCACCAACTGGACTCATACACTTCAGCCCCAACTGGGCCAGGCGAGCTGGGTAGCACTTTCAGAGACCACCTTCTGCACAGGAACAGGTCAAAGTGCTGTGGACTCACAGCTTAGAGTTGTGAGCACCGGATTCACTCCAACAAGAAGACAGTCGTCGCACAGCAGAGCATAGCAGAGCATAAACGACTCGGAGAGCAGCTCTGTAGAATATCTTCTTTTATTCTATCTACAACTATAATACACAACTATGTACAGAGCTAAATGAGGTCTAAGCAAAAATGCTGAACTGCACTGAGTGTCTGCAGCTGCTCTTAGCAGCAACCTTATCTATACACACGATCTCTCTCTAACACTCAGTCTCTCTCTCTCTCTTTGATGTGAGGCTGGAGCAGAATAAGTAGAGAGCAGAAACCGCCCCCTCCTCTCTGGAGAATCAGCAGAGAACATCAGCAGATTCTTGGATATGGGAGGGGTGAAATCTCCTCAGCTGCAGCTGATTATTATTATTATTTTACTTGCTGTTTGAGGCATAGGCCTGCCCTGCCAGGGTATGTGTCTTTTGCAACTACAATATCTCTAGCCACCCTTCTTCCCAAGAACTCAGCCACATAACTTCTGCCACTTCCGAGCACACAATCTGATAACTCATTTGATATGTCCTATCTGCCAGGAGTAGGCCACCAGGAGCAGCACACATCCAGCCTAGGCTCCAACAGGTGCCTAGTTACGTGCAACTCAGCTGATGGGGCTTGTTGCTGCCCTGTCACTCAAGGCCACCTGGAGTCAAATGACATAAACATGGAATATGGAGATCCATTCCTTTGTCCCAACTTTTGACCATCCAAGGTCACTGCACGCTGAATCTACATTGTGTGACCTTGTGTGTGTGTGAGTATTGAGACTCTTCCCAACAGTCCTCCATCGGTTAGTCTTTAATTTTGTATTAAAGTACCAGGCTGCTTTCCCTTTGTCTCTTAGCTCTTCCTCTAAAAATAACACACACAAAAAACCTGCACACAAAGACAAAACTGTCTTTAATTTGGCACTGGGGTTTGGAGTGCTTCTGAGACACGCCCAAGGGATTGTGTTTCCCTCACCTGCTTAGCTGCTTGCCATTATGCTTTCTTCTGGTGCCTGAGGGAAAGTACAAAGAAAGCATACTGCTCCACAGCCCATGAAGATGGGAGGGAGCTAGCTGTCCACCACCTTCCCAGCAAGATATCCAGCTCATAGCTCTAGTCCTCTCTTTGGCCAAGAGTTAGAGGAAAGGGGGAGTGGTGACACAAACAAGAACATACTGTGGACAGCTACCTTACAAGGCAGCTGTGGCAAAGTGATCACTGCACCATTGTTAAACTATTAGGAGTCAGAAATCCATGCCAATCTACTTGCAAACCAACTAGAGATAAGACAGTTGACCCCAGTCAAGCTTCTGCCTGCTCTCACTGTATGGAACACGACACAATCCCTGGCCACAGGTCCAGACCAAGGCATTTTGCTGAGGGGCAGCAGCAAATGGTCCCCCAACCCCAATTAAGGCGCATGGTATCCAAAGTCAGACAAATTATTTTGGAATCTGAAGAAGAAAATCCCACAAGGACTCCCCATGCCTTTCTGACAGCAAAAAAGCAAGTCTGGAAATTCCATAATAAAAAAATTAATAAGTAACTATTTGCTTTCAAGACAGCCAAAGACAGGTGGCTGTCTCCTTCTGTTAAATGGTTAGCCTGCATTCAATGTGGTAACACAGAACTTTTCCCGGCAGATTAAAA